CATACGTTTTGCGCAGCTCCGTCCAGCGAACGTTTGTCTGCTGAGGATTTTCACTGCTTTGCCCTTTGGTCTGCGCAAAAATAGTTGAAATGTTGTGTGGTTCCCAAGCTGCGAGATTTCCCACTAAAAATTTTATGCATCATCGGTGCTTGAAAACCGAATTTGAAAACTGGACGGTGAATATCCTTTCAAAATTTCAGCCTTCTAACTCAAGTGATTTTCACGCCAAAACTTTCACGTGGCCGCATGTGAGACTCGGCATACTTTGAAACCAGATTTGAGTTTGTGAGACCCCTGTATAGGCAGAAAACATTTTCCCGAAATTTCCGACCTCCTAGCTTTTCTGACTCCGGGAATAATTCTTCCCGCCAAAACTTTACAGGGATTTCGAGACTCAGGTGTACGTGAGAGGCGAAGCCGTAAGTGGGCAGGGGACACCAACTTAAAATCCAGCTTCCCAATTCTTGTGGTTCCCGCGATATTAATTTTCCTCGCCAAGATCTTCACGGGGCCGTACGTGGTACCCAGGGGCAAGGAAAGGCTACAATTAAATTTGTGGAGGTAAACGTGGGTGAGGGACATTCTCCTAAATCTTCACTTCCTAGCTTTTTTGGTTCCTAATTTGAAAGTTGTGGGCAAATTGCTGCGGATACACACACAGACAACTCTGTAACAACATGCGTTTTGTGCAGCTGTTGCACAGCACAAAATGTATAAAAAGCGATGGCCAAAAGCAGCGACAGTACTGAAACGCAATTTCCGTTGACTCATAACCGTTTGGGACAGTACTACACAAGTCCCAAACGGTTATGAGTCAACGGAAATTTCAGGAACAGTGAACTGCGTAGGAGCAATGCAAGATACAAAGCAAACGAACAACTAATCTTTAGAGTGCTAGCATTGACAATAATGTTTCCCTGACCGTGAAAAGGAGGAGGGATCTGGTGTTATTCAAACTCCTAACTACTCCTGAGGTCCTTGAAAAATAAATTAACATTCTAGTCCTTTTGATTACAGTATAAATCAATGCAAGTTTTTTTGATAAGGTATAAACGGCATATAAAAATTTAAGCAAGCACTGCTATTCACATTAAACGCAATGTATTTTACGGATGATCTGATAAACACTTCGACAATTTACATTTTTATTATTTTATAATAATTATTTATCCTTACCCGCTCAACAGCGCTACCCGGATGACGGC